GGGGCGCTTCGTGTCGAAAAATGCTGGCAGGCTTCTAGGGACCTCTGAGGATGGAGGGGGCTTGAGACGGGAGGGCTAATCGAAGCATTGTTCATGCATTTGGGGTTTACTCTGGTCCTCCTCCTCACCATCATCTGTTCGCTCTCATTATTCATCCTTTTATTGAATCGCTTCGCTCATTCCGCCGGCCCGTGATATGGCATCGCTGGTTTTTGTCTGTGTGTTCGTTGCCCATGTTGCGCTCTTGGGGGCGGGTGTCGTTCGGACGCGTTGCGTGGGGAGTTTTGATGGTGAAGCAGTTCCCTGGGGGTCGTCTCTCGATGGGGCGAAATAGAGTCGTCGTCAAGATGCTTCTTTGGGGGGCCTCTTGGGGTCTGTTGAGAGGCCGTTCGGGGGCGCCTGGGAGACATGTTTGAAGCCTTCTGGGGCTTCTTTTGGGCCTCCTGGGAGTCTCCTGGGGCCTCTTGGCGACATCTTGGGGCCTCTTGGAGGCCTCTTGGGGCCTCTTTGGGACCTCCTGGGCGCCTTCTGGGACGGAGGGCTCCATTTTTGAGTTCTCGGTATCCCTCCTGAGTCCCTCTTGGGCCCGTCTTGGGGCCTCTTGGTCCGTCTTGGGCGGCACTTGGGCCGTCTTGAGGGCTCTCTTGGGTCGTTTCGGCGCCGTCTTGGGAGCTTCGTGGGCCGTCTTGGAGCGGTCTTGGGGGCCTCTTGGGCCGTCTTGGAGCGTCCGGAAGCCGAAAAAGCCAGAACACAAAAAACATCGAAAAAAACAATGAAAATCAACGATTTTGGCCTCTTGGGGCTCTCTTCGGAGGCCTCTTGGAAGGCTCTTGGGGCGTCTTGGAGGCCTCTTGGGCTGTCTTGGGGGCCTTTTGGGCCGTCTTGGGGTCATCTTCGGCGTCTTCGAGCGCTCTTTGGGCGTCTCGGGGGCCTCTTGGGCAGTCTTGGGGGCCTCTTGGGGCACTCTGAGCGCGCTCTGGGGAGCCTGAGAGGCCGCACCCAGAAGGAAAACCATCTCTGAGTAGACTTGGTCGGGCGGCGACCGGGCGTTGGTCGGGGTACTTTTCGCCGGGGGACCCCCAGGGGCCGCCCCGCGCGCGCGAACTAGAAATACTGTTAATACTGTTAACCAGTTACCGGAGATCTTAGCACGCCCTGGCCCGTTGGGCCGGCGAATTCCTCCTCCTCCTCCTCCTCGTCCTTCTCTTCTCGCCTCCTCCTCATCCTCCAGCGGCGGCGGCACGCAGGAAACCCAGAGGTTGTTGCGGCACGGGGCGCTGGCGGGAAGGCTCCGTCGGCGGAGGAGGAGGTACTCGGAAGCGTTCGGATGATTTCGAAGTTTTCCATGAACCGATGTGTCATTTCGTTGACTTTTCGTTGTTCAGAAGCTTTCGGAGAAGGGTAACAGAAGGGATCGTTCATCAACCGAGCGGTCCACCGACGGGTCCCTCGGCCCATTGACGAATCAATCTGGGCAAGAGCTCCCTCGGCTTCTTGGCCGGTCAGTCCATCGATCGGTGCACGTGGAGTGCGGAAAGTTTCGACCGACAGCCATCACGCGCGTTTGTTTCGGTTGGGATGAAGATAGAAGTGAAGGAGGGGGAGGAGGAGGAGGAGGAGAAGGAGGAGGAGGAGGAGAAACGGATTTGCAAGCGGGGCAACTTCTTTCCTCACCTACACCCCCACGCGGCTCCCTTCAAAGGGGTGAGGCGTCATGCGTCGCTTCCGCGGAGGTCCCGCTCCGCGAGTGGTTGGTGGGGGTCTCGTTCTGCGACCGGGGTGGCGCCTCGCGGCTCCACTGAGGTTTGCGCATCAGCGGGCGTCTCGCTCTGCGAGTGGTGGTGGTCTAGCTCCGCGACGGGGGTGGCGCCTCGCGGCGCGACTGAGGACTGCGTCTCCGCAGGAGTTTTGCTCTGCGAGTGGTGTGGATCTCGCTCCGCGATCGGGGAAGGGCCCCGCACCGCGACTTTGGGTTGCACCTCGCCACGCGACTGGGCACCGCTCGCGGGCGGGGGCCCCGCGCGGGGTGGCGCAGCTGCCTCGCTTCGGCGGTGGTCTCGCTCCGCGACTAGCAGGGGCGTCGCGCCGCGACGGGGGTGGCGCCGCGCTGCGCGACGGGGCGCGCTCGCGCGGGCGTGGGCCTCGTGCCGGGGGAGCTGTGTCGCATCGGCGGGGGGCTCGCTCCACGACGGGCTCCTCAAGGCGCAGGAGGGCCGAGTCCGCCATGGAGTGCGCACAGCGAAGTCTCACAGGATCCCGCCGGAAACCTCCAGAATTGCACAATATGTCCCCGACGGGCCCCGGATGAATCCCTCGGGATTCTGAAAGAAATCCAAAAAAAATCCGAAGAATCAGACAGCCCCCGAGGACGTCTTCAGGTTTCCACCAGACGTCCTTCGGAATACTCAGGGACTGCTGAAATTATCCAGGGAGCGTTTAGGATTCCTAAGAATGTCCTCAGGTTGTCTGGGGAAGCCCTGACGATTCTTGATGACATCTTTAGGAGTCCTGACGGAAGGATGCCGTAGGATATCTTGAGGAGTCTTAGCGCATTCCTTTGGAAATCCACGGAGGTCTTGAGGAAATCTTGGGGGGTGCTCTGGATTGCTGAGGACAGCTTCATGACATGTTCATGCTTGCTTGAGGAATAGCCAGGGAATCTTCTTAGCACTCCTCAGGATTTGGAGTGAAGGCCGCAGGGGCAGGAATCCCAACTGGGGCGCCGCAGGAGCAGGAATCCCAACTGGGGCCCCGCCCGCAAGACAGCGGGGGGCCGCTGGGCAGCTTTGCCATGAGGTTGATGCGGGAGCCTCGTTCTGGGGACTTCCAGACAGGCCGCGGAGGTCGAAAGGGAGAGGAGGAGAAGGAGGAGAAGGAGTTGGAGGAGGATGAGAAGGAGTTGGAGGAGAAAGAGGAGGAGGAGCAGGAGGAAGGGGAGGAGAAGAAAAGTTGGAGGAGGGGGAGAAGAAGTTGGAGGAGGAGGAGGAGGAGGAGCAGCAGGAGGAGGAAGAGAAGCAGAAGAAGGAGAAGGAGGAGGAGGAGGAGGAGCAGAAGGAGGAGGAGGAGGAGGAGGAGGAGGAGGAGGAGGAGGAGGAGGAGGAGTTGGAGGAGAAGGAGGAGGAGGAAGAAGAGAGTGAGGAGCAGGATCACAGGGAGGGAGGAGCAGGAGAAGTGGAAAGAGAGGAGAAGCAGGAGGAGCAGGAGGTTAAGGAGTTACGGGTTTTGCGTGTGTCTCCGCTACGATAAAATAAGAAAGTTAAAGTGTATAGCCGTCTCTGTGTTGCTGTGTAAGGTCTAGGCCAGACCTTTGCCGAGATTCGAAGGAGATAATCCTTACGATTACCACTGGCCGAATGCAGGCACCTGCTCCCGATTTTAGCGAGCTGCTGAGCTGCAAAACTCCCACAAGAATTACAAAATCAATTCCGCAACCAAGCGTGAAACTTTAGGTTATGGTTTTCGTAAGCCCCCCACCCACCCACGGATGCGCACCCGACACCCTGGGGGAAGGCCAAAAAAGATGATAAGATCGACATCCCGCATATTACAGCAAGGTCAGTCCATCCAGGCCTGGCGAGCCGCCTGAGTGGCCGACCCTTTGCGCTGCACACGAGAGCTGCCTTCTTTCGGAGAGGCAACGCTGCCTGGGAAAAAGCAGCGTGGCACTCCTCCGGAGCTGGCGGCCCAGGTCCAGGGCGCCCGGCTCGGGCTCCGCCGGGCTCCCCGGGGGACTCGGCCTGTTCAGCCTGCAGGGCTTGCAGCGCGCTCCACCAAGATACACATGGTTGTTCTGTCCTGGGCCTCTTCCTGGCCACCAGGCGGCCAGGAACACTTAGAAACGAGCACAAGTAGAAATGAGCACGATTAGGAATGAACGACGTGCACGCACACGAACCCGATGGTCCACTCTCGATCTCCAGATGCTGGCCCCGTCGCCCTCGCCGGCTCTCACGACGCGGGCAGCCTCCGCGGCGAGGTGCTCGGCGGCAATGCTGCCAGTGGCCACGGGCAGGGGCGGCAGTGCTGCGCAGAACGTCCACGGCCTCCCGGCGAGAGGGGGCGCCAAGAGCAGCTCGGGTGCTGCCAGAAGTGCCCCATGGCCCAAGGTGTCCCCAGGATTTCCAAGGAGGGTCCCACGGCCTCCAGAGCACCCCTCACGAGACCCAGGGGGTCCCCAGGGGACTCCAGGAGGGAGCGAGCAGCTGGGAGAGCACCCTGCTAGCTCGCCAGATGTAGTGTCATCCCAGCGTCGTGAGGAAACCCAGACGGAGGGTCCTGCTCGCAGGACCCTTACGAGCAAGCCCTCCGTCGGTTGAAGGACAGTGCTGAAGGTCGCTCGGTGGTTTGCACGGGTGGGACCCCGCCACGCACCACGGCGGCGACACCAGGGTATTGCTGAAGGGCGTACACGTTGGCTGCGCTGGACCGGGGCGGTCCTCGAAACCTTCTGGGCCCCCGCCGAGGCACCCTGGGCCAGGGGCCCCTTACGCAACCCCCGAACAGTGCACTGCAAATCCTGGCGCTGCCCGAGGAGCCTGCTGATGGCGAGCCGCAGGTCGGCGCCCTCGCCACCTGGCGACAGATGCTTCCCTGTGCACCTAGCCGTTGCAGGCTGCGGCGTTGTCCTTCGTATAGACTACGGCACCGGTGGCTCCCCCGGGGCCAGAAGAGCGCAAGGGGCTCCCCTCGCGCCGCCGTCTGCCTTTCGCCACGCAGGCCACCCCGATGAGCCCGCACCGGCACCATCGGGCCGCTCATCTCGAAGTAGATCGCTAGACCGACTCCGACCCGAGGGAGGCGAGGGTTCTGCTGTCCTCGCCCCCGCTCGCGTCGCCGATAACATCCAAGGGTTGCTGCTCGGTGCCGTGCCCTCGTCAGGCAGTGGAACGTCGGGCCATACGGCAAGCGCCTCTCAGGACTTGTGGTGTCAACAGCGGTCGAAGCAGCTTGGCCCGGAGCTCGGAGGCCCGCCAGTTCGATGCAGATGTTGGGCACAACATGCGCCGGATGCTGAAGAGAGGTTGGGACACGACGTCACAGCTGCTTCCCAGACAGGGGGGGGAGCCCTGGTGCTCACTCTGGAACGGCCGTCGGCGCGCGGGGGCCCCGCGCCGGGCGGGCGCCCTCGCGTGGCCGCGGAAGGCTGCAGCGCGTCCCGGACGGCCCGAAGACCGTCAAGGTCGGGGCTGGGATGCGGGATTGTGCGATCACGGGGCTCGACGTCGGCATCGCGTCCGACGTCACCGAGTGTGTCTCTCCCGTGGTGCGCGCTGTGGGCGCGGACGCCGTGCTGGACTTCCTGCAGGAGGCCGGGGAGGTGGGTGCGGCATTGGTGGACCCTGCCGCCTGGCGGGAGTCCAACACGGCGGCGAGCTGATCGTGGTCGGGATCATGGTTGAGCCCAACGAGTCTCTAACATGGATGCCGTGATGCCGCACACCCAGATGTTGTTTCGCCTCGGCCACCCTCACCCACGGCGGAAGGCCAGCGGAAGGAAGCCCCCAAAAAAGGCTCCGCCGATTCGAGCAAGGCCGTTGGCCCACAGTGTGGACATGGTGGCGCAAGCCCCCACCCGGGCGGCCTCTCGCGCCTCGGCCTCCTTCCCTCCCCACTGCGCTGGGCTTAGGGTTACTTGGGTCACTGGTCGTCCTCGTCCTCCTCTTCCTCCTCGTCTTTTTCCCTACTATCCTGTGGTGTTGGGTCCTCATTTTGAAGAGGGTTACTTGGGTTACTGGTCGTCCTCGTCCTCCTCCTCCTCCTCCTCGTCTTTTCCCCTACTATCCTGTGGTGTTGGGTCCTCATTTTGAAGAGACAGCGCCCCGTGTTCTCCTCCTCCTCTCCTCCTCCTCCTCCTCCTTCCCCTCCTCCCTCCTCCCATGCGTACCTCTACCCTCCGCATCCTCCTCCCCCACAGCGTGGGCGTGCTCGTGAAGGGGGAGCAGAGGCGGCACAGGCCTGCGAGGCGAGCGCAGCGCCGTGTCGCGACGGCGCTGGACCTCCGTCAGCTGCTCCACGCAGCGCTGACGAGACGAGAGAGCAATGGCGTTGTGAGAATTAAACAAGCCCCACTGAGAGCGCCGTGGCCCCTGGCATTCACGGAGGTAGTACGGCACCGTGTGGTGCATTGCTCGCGGGCGACAGCTCCTTCACTGGCCGATCCCGCATCTGCCCCCGAAGCAAACTTACCCAAGGCGGTACAGGTCGCCAGGCCTGCGACGTTGTCGACGGCGAGGATCGTCCTGCAGCCGGAAGACAATCTGCGGAACGTGGTTAGCGACGCCGACATTTTGATGAAGTTGAATCCCGAAGCGACGAAGCAGCTCGTGTGGTCTCTGGGACAGGAGGAGTACGACAGAACGGACAAAGAGGTGCGCAGGGTTGTTGGAGACGCTTTTTGTGGCCATCCCGATGACAAGCGACTCGACGTTCTGATGCGGCTGCTGGTCTATCGGATATTGGCTGCTCTCAGGATGCGGAACGACGATGTGGAGGCGGCCATCAAGCAGGGCGAGAAAGCCGAGGCGGCGAAGCAGGCGGTCGACGTGACCCTCCAATACGCGGTGAAGGCTTCGAACACGACGACGGCGAACCGCACGACGGCTACCCGTAGCCTGTAGCTCCAGCGCTCCGATGACGGACAGCGAGGATCACGAGGTGGCAAAGTGGACGCGTTTCGCTAGAGGATTCTTATAGTCTCTACTATATCCGCAAGGGCTTCGCCCCCATGTCCCGGGCCCCCCTCTTTTAGAATGGGACGTGCCAGAGCTGTGCTGGGATGTCTGGACGTCGACGTGAAGCAATGACGGGACTTCACGCGAGGGCCAATATTGATTTACGAGCGTTTATGGCTTCGGTGGCGCGAATATTAGGTAATTTACGATGGTTTATGGCTTCGGGGACGCGAATATTGTATAACTTTCGAGGGTTTGTGGCCCCGGGGACACAAGGGTATATGGTTTCGGGGGCGCGAATATTGCTTAATGGCCTCGGGGACGCGACTATCATGGATTTCGACGCGTCCCACGACCCCCCGGGAATTCAAAGAACGCGATTTGGGGACGCAGCCAGGACGCTTTTCGGCTCCCCTGGCTCCCCCCCCTCGCGCGTTCAGCAACAATCAGCAGTAAGGAACAGAAAGCAGGATTGTAACAGCGGAAACTGGAAACTGCAATTGGGAAAGGGAACTGCAAGCCTAATCTTCGCAGCCTGATGGCCCCGCAAGGGGGCCGGCGGATCTTATGGAAAAAATCCTGGGGAGGCGTGCCCAAAGGGGTCGTCCGGGGATTCCTGTTGGGTAATATTTTCTCAATTGGACACAGTGACGGTAGCAGAGAGGGCCACAGAAGAGCCCCACAGGGGGGGGGGCGGGGAGCCCGAGATCACTCGAGCCAGACGCTTCGCTTGAGAACTCCTCAAGATGTATTCAGGAATGGGAACCAAATCACAACCGCCGACTCAGCAGCAGAGAGTGAGTGTGAGGAGAAGGGGGGGGAGTTGTTGACTCCCACACTCCACTGGCCGGAATGATCAGACAACTAGCATACATGACCAGTCAGTCGATACCAGTTGCTCTTGGATACATTCCACACAAGTACGTGGTTCATAGACTCTATAGGGAACGTCGCTTGAGATCTCGCCTCAATGCTGGAAACATGTTTCGTAGTCGCCGTGCCTCGTTCGCTCCTCGGGTTCGCACTGCCTGTGTGAAGTCGCTCTCTGATCACCGATGGTCGTCACATCCGCGTGGCGGGGTGCAGACACAACAGGGCGTGTCGGACCATCGGGCCATCGTTGCGGTTGCACCGCGCGATTGCGGTCTCCCGCCAGAGCCAGGCAACGTGTTGGTTACCTTGATCTGATATGTTTTTGCAATACGCCACCGATTATCATCATCAACATCCCCTCGTCATACTCTCAATCATCCTCATCTTCGTCTTGATTCAAAGGAACACGCGGGGGAGATCACCAAGGAGCGTTCGCTCGCTCTCTCTCTCTCTCTCTCACACTCTCTATCTCTCTCTCTCTCTCTCTCTCTCTCTTCAAGATTAACGATGAGCTGAGGCTCTGCCTGGATGGGCCTGGCCCCACCATATGTCGCCGCGCCGTTTGTTCTGACGCGCGGCCTTGCGTCTTTGGGAAGGCGCCGCGGCCACCAGAGCGAATTCTGCCTCGAACGCAAGGTTCGCCATGGGGCTTGCCGCGGTGCCACCAGGACAAGCGCCGCCCCAGGCGCGGTGGGCTCGCCGCGGGGTTTGCCGCGGTGGCGGCGTCGTCCACCTGGGCACGGGGCGCAGGGTTTGCTGTGGGTTTGCCGTGGTGGCGGCTTTGTTCACTTGGGCGCGTTCAGAACAAGCGGCGCGGCGACATATACCAGCGGCATTTTGATACCAGGGATGCGGCGGCACGAGCTCTCGCTGCGTGATGCCGACGAACCTGAGCGCAAGCACGTGCGCTCCGCATCATGCTTTTTTTGTCCTGGACACTATCCTCCTCATACTCCCCCGTCCCCCTCGTCATTCTCTTAAGATTCCGCCACTTGTGCGTCAGACTGTCCACCATCCTCATCGTAATCGTCATCATGATATCGAACAGAACAATCGTCATCACCACCACCACCACCACTAGCATCATTCTCATTTCCCTCACCCATCGTTCCCTCCACTTCTCCCCCTCCTCCTCCCTCGTTCCCTCCGTCCCTCCGTCATCCTCATCATCCTCACTCTCTCCATTTTTCTTCCCTCCCTCGGTCTCCTGCCTCCTCCCCCCCTTCCTCCCCTCTCTACCCAGCAGGCGCCTGGCGGACGAAGATCTCGCTCGCGAGGCGCGCCTGCCTTGGGAGAGGCCAGGGCGGAGGAGAGGAATAAAGGGGAAGAGAACCAGGAGAAAGAGGAAGGGGGAGGACAAAGAAGGGGAGGAGGAGGGGAGGGGAGGGGAGGGGAGGAGAAGGAGGAGGAGGAAGAGGGAGAAGAAGAAGGACGAGGAGATGTATGAAAAGAAGAGCGATGACGAGAAGGAGAAGAAGGACGAGAAGAAGGAGAAGAAGGGGAAGTAAGCTTTTGACCGCCCAAGCGTTTAGGCGCGTCGAGAACAGCGCGCAGGCCATCGCCAGGTGGACGGGACTGGATTGACGGGCCAGGGCCAGGCTGGACGCGACGAGGGGGAAGCTCATTGGTGGGAGGGGCGACCTGGGCCTGGTGCTCCTGAGCAACAGTGCGCCAGCATTCCCCGCCTCCCCTGCGCCCGTGCGCCTCCGCACCGGTGCTGCTCGCGCACACCCGGGCCAGAGCCGGCCGGGCCCGAGGCGAAGGGCGGGGTCCGGAGCTCCCCTGCCGACGGGGAGGCCACCCCCGCGTTCCCCTTCTCCACAGGGGGGACCGCCCGGGGGAGGGGCGGAAGGGCCGCAGAGGCCCCCAATGGGGCGGCAAGCCGACCCGGGACCTCCCCCCCCCCCCGCACCTCTCTTTCTCTACCCCGTCCTCCTCCTCCTCCTCCTCCTCCTCCTCCTCCCTCCTCCTCCTCCTCCTCCTCCTCCGCCTCCTCCTCCTCCTCCGCCTCCTCCTCCTCCTCCTCCTCCTCCTCCTCCTCCTCCTCCTCCTCCTCCTCCTCCTCCTCCTCCTCCTCCTCCTCCCCCAATACCGCGTCCGTCGGGTAGGGGAGCAGGGGAGGGAAGCGACTGCACTGCGACATGTCTTTTACGACGTTTCGTTTCCCTGTTCGAGTCGTAGACGTTCTTGGCAGGGGCGACGGCGACGACGAAGTTGACGACAGCGTCTGACACACGCCGACTGTGTTGGCTGCTTTGTTCATTGCTACAGAGTTTGCATGTCATGATTGTGTCACGCGGTGGGAACGCCAGAATCTGGGACTCGATTGTGAGGCGGGCGGGGACTATAATATCACGCACTTCTTTTGGGCTGACAAAATTGTCTTAGCCTCTGGTACTGCCAGTTGGCTCGAGACCATGATCGACGAATTGACCCAAAGTCTCTATGCAAGCATGCTGTCTTGGAAGCCGTCTTGGTTGCAATTTCTCGCGGCTGGTGGCGGAAATCCAGGAAAAGATAGTTCTCTTCTTGCCGGCCGGCGGATAGCTGGAATTGGCCGTTGCGAAGATGTTCCGCAATAAAGGTTTTAGGAGAGATGCTGGACGACCGCGGTTTAATTTCGACGGCCCTTGCCTATAGGTTGCAGTGCGCGGAAGGACAAGATTGGGCATACAATCATATATTGATCGGCCTGGCGCCTGCGTTGAAGAAGCTACGGGCGCGGGAGGGCGGACTGCAATGCTAAGCAGTATTTGGCTGCCAGAACTACTGCATAACTCAACAGTTATTGCAGGAGCTGTGGAGTTGGGAATTGAAATGGCTCCAGAGGGCGTTGAAAATACAATGGCGGAAGCGTGGTGTGCCTTATCATGAACATCCCCAGGACAGTGCGAGAAAAGTCAAATGTTCGCTCCAGCGACACCGAGCGCGACCCATCCACGTCCGAGCACTGCTAGCCTACCACAGAGCAGCATGGAGAGAACTTGACATGTGCATCGGCCGCAGATGGCAACCGCTAAAGTTCGCGCGACCCTACCTGCCCAAAGTGTTTTGGGAATTCTTCGAGCTTGCAAGCCCGGGGGCCCGCAGTAGCTTGGAATGGACGCAGAGATCATAAGGCCCGAAGACTTCTTGGGAGGACCCCACGGTCTATGTGTATGGCACGTGCTTGAGGACCATCAGGGACAACACAGGGAAACACACCTGGAAGCCAGAGTCCATTGCTTTTGCGAGTACACTTTTTGATGGCACCGACCTGACGTTCGGCACTGCGACGTACAATGCGCGGCAGGACATTGACCGAGCCAAGGAACACCCAACGAAAAAGCAGAGGTTGCGATTTGCAGGCAATTAGCCAGACCCCGAAGAACTCTTGGATACGCCAGCTGCCCTGCACCGGCGGGACACATGGAGTGGATGTTTTTTGTTTTTCTGTGATTCTGAAATGCTAGCTGACAGGCTATGCGGCATCATTGCACGCAGGCTCAAACAAGCTGGCGTTCAATCGCATGGGGGACTGGCCTTGCAGAGTGTACGCGTTGGGATTGCGACCCCCCTTGCCATCTGAAGACCCACTGCACTGGACGCCTAGGAAGCACAGCAAAGTATCTGATGGTATTGCGGACCTTACCATGGACAAGATGGCGATCTGTAATCAGCCGTACACCACAAAGTTGAACCCGCAGGCCGCCAACATTGCGGCCCAAACTGATGAGGGACGGAGGTCCGAGAATTGCGGCGCAGCTTCTGTCATCGCTGATGCGTTCGGCAAGTTCGAGGGGACAAGTTTGCATGAGCCTTGGTGTGCTGAAGGCATGTACATCCCGTATGGCGTCACGGTGTTCCAAGCGGCAATGGTTGCATTAGGTCGGGCGCTTGCGTGGTGGTTTCATGAGTCAGAGCAATATCGGTTCGAGCATCAGTGGTCTTGAAGGCACCTTGAAGGAAAGAAGGGGTTTTAGACTTAAATGGTTCCTTAGGGTTACCAAAGAAATATTTGAGATTCCATCGGACTTCGCCACAATTCCTTCGGGAAGTCTTGGGCTCCGTGGGGAAATCCTCAGACGTCCTGGGAGATGTTTGGGAGGCCTTACGACATCCTGGCCATTCCGATGGAAACCATCAGGATGTCCAAGACCTTGACGATGTTTAAGAAACGCGTTCCAGCAAATCCTTCAGAGTCCAGGGAACTTGATCGTCTTGAAGTCGCCATGACTGCTGCGGAAATCGCTTTGAAATTCTCCGAATGTTTGAAGATTATTGAGGGAGGCCCGCCGGGCAGTTCAGCCACGGAGGCGGTGAAGCCTTTTGCGGGGCTTCACCCAGACGCATCATTCAGACGCCACCCCAGTCCATTTGGAGACCGAACAGGAGGTAGTCTAATCTGTGCCACGCATAAGTCGAAGGATGCGGAGAGACGCGACCTGCACCACTTGGAGGCAGGCGAGCTTAACCTCGCCCGCCCCGCCGTTCGTCTGGTGCTCAACTGAACGCTCCGACCAACGGTCGGCAGCGCCTGGCATCAGTTGTGTGTGGCGCAGGCTCCAGTGACGGGCAGAGGGAGAACCGATGCTCTGCATGTTCATGGCGCATGCGATCCGAGCTGGCCTCGCGCTACAGCTGGTGATGGACGCTTCCACCCTCCATGTGCCTCTGCCCCTCCCTCCTCAACCTCACACTCCCATCTCATTTCAGTATGTATCCTCCTAGATGGCGGCCTCCGCCGCCGCCCCCTCGGGATCATCCCATTCGTGCTCCGGCCCCCTGCCCAGCCTCCTCTCCCATCCCCCCTCCCTCGTTTCATCTTCGCTACGTTTCCCTTTCTTCCTCCGTCCTCTCCTGCTCCTTTTCTTCATGTTTACGTTACACTGGCGTTGGTCGAAGCGACCGCCGCGTCTGAATGCTCGTGCTGAGAAAGGAAAGCACACGCCTGAACACGAATTTGAACACAGGCAG